ATGTCCCTGTTGCAAAATATGGTGAAAACATATCCAGTGGGCCAGATGGCATTAATTTGCAGGACAGCACTTTGGAGAAGTATGCACTGATACCAAGGTTCCACGAAAGGGTCTCATAGGAATTGTTTCTGATCTTTGTACCCTAACAGTAGTTTTATCTGATCTCCTTATAGCATGTCAGTGACCCAGGCTATGGAGTGGCTGATTGAGCATGTAGATGACCCCTCTGTGGACACGCCGCTACCAGGCCAGGACTCTTCTGGGGCAGCAGGAGCTACGGCAGCTGCCACTCCAGGCCCCCCTGCTTCAGCTTCTGCTTCAGCCTCTGGTCCTAATCCTCACCGCAGCCTATCCAGCCAGTCGAGCACAGACGAGAGCAACAAGCAGGATGAACTCACAGAGATCTTCAAGAGGATCCGCAGGAAAAGGGAGTTCAGACCAGATTCAAGGGTGGGTGCAATTTTAGCTTTTATACAAGACTTCAGATTTTACAAATCTCCTCTCAGGGTTCTCATCGGCTGCATGTTATTTGAGTTATTTGATATTATATTTTGCACTATCCTATTGTATATTACTGTATACTACTATTCTTATTGTATATCTTACTCCTCTGTTCCTCTGTCTCTCTTGCTGCATTGAGCATGTGTATGACAAAAGAATCTTTCCTCCGAATAAATAAAGTTCTTCTTATCTTATCTTATGTGGGACAGGGCCACACTTAAACTTGAGTGATATTCGATTTTGATGGAAGTTTTTTTTTTTTTTGTTTTTTTTTCAACCATAACTTGTTCACATCTTATTAAGTAAGTTTTGTGTCCCCATGATAGCTGCTGGAATTGCTGGAATAGACTTTAGATAGATTTTAACTGTATGTGGGTTTTTTTTGCTTTTTTTTAATGAACTCTGCAGGCCGTCATTGCATTGATGGAGATGGGCTTTGATGAAAAGGAGGTGATCGATGCTCTGAGAGTCAATAACAACCAACAGGATGCAGCGGTAAGTTTACACATCGTCAGTAGTTTTACTATTAATAAACAAATTTAACAGTTAGCTCCCTCCCCCCAGTAATTTCTGAAACCTTCCAAAAACAACAAGTCCAGTAACATTGAATACCTGTTTCACTTGTTTTCAGTTAATTTTATACTTTGACTTCCATAAAGATTTTAATTGGTGTCCTTTTTGTTCCTTACTCTGCAGTGCGAGTGGCTGTTGGGAGACAGGAAACCTTCTCCAGAAGATCTGGACAAAGGCATCGACACCAACAGCCCACTGTTTCAAGCCATCCTGGAAAATCCAGTCGTCCAGCTGGGTTTAACCAATCCCAAAACTCTTCTAGGTATAGTCTCATTGAGTGTAAAAGCCAACGTAGTGTCCTGTTTTTGAAAATTCTCCCCTAAAGTAATATTAAAAACTTTTTGACATCCTTATATTATTGTGTAGTTTTAGGAACTCAAATATAGTCTCATTCTGTAAAATGAGACAGAAAAACCACCAGCAGCTGAAAAAGATCTTGCTGAGACGTCCAGGAAAACTGTTCGAACAGTGTGAAATCATTCTTTTTATTTCATTCACCTGTGTATATATGGTTATTTTATATTATGTTTTGTTGTTTGTGTGATACTAAACATCCATGAAGACTTGTGCTTTGGTTTCGGTGAGTGAAGTTCTGATATTTTATTAGTCTGTTACTTTTTTTCTTGATATCTGTCCCTATAGGTTAGCTAATAACCCAACACTCCACTCGCTTGTTCAAAAACGGTCACTCCTGGCTCCAAAACATGATATATAAAACATAAAGAAGCAATGAAGGCACTAACGTTTAGGCTTTAAGTCACTGAGCCCAAAACCAGCGGTTGACATCAGTGTCCACTTAAGGCATATGACATAGAGAAAGGCCTGTCTACCTGTCTTCACCAGTTGACAGAAGAGGGGAAAGATTTGTGGGTTGGAGGTCTATTATATAACTCACAAATATGCTTTGTGTTTATGTGCAGCGTTTGAAGACATGCTGGAGAATCCTCTGAACAGCACCCAGTGGATGAACGATCCCGAGACCGGCCCTGTCATGCTACAAATATCCAGAATCTTCCAGACCCTCAATCGCACATAGAGCCTCCTGGTGACACCCCCACCCCCATCCCGTGTATGACTGTGGCAGCTTCGTGTGTATGTGTTTGTGTGTTTGATCACACTGAGGCGTACGCTTGCATGTATGAATGTGTATGTATGAGCGTGGGAGAGACACAAGTATTGTTTTTTGCCTTTTAAAGACAAAGAGAGAGGAGTCAAAGTATGAATGAAGATGTTACAGATATAACTTATTTATAACAATACAGTAAAAACACTTATACAAAACAGATGTTAACATAAAGTTATTATTACAGTAATAATATAAATTGAGATTTAGTATATTGTTTTTACATTTTAATGATAACAATTTATAGGTATGACAGACATGATTTATTTTATATAATTTGTCCACGTGTAAAAATGACATCAGACATCAATTTAAAGTTTACACTTCAACAAAAACTGTTTTCTATGTTTTGCAATATTTAAAAATCAACTGCAGTTTTCAGTGTCTCTTTAAAATGTTTCATCAGTGGTGAATGTGTGGAAGACTTCTGTCAGTATCACATCTTCTTTTTCTTCTCCCTCTGTTTTAATCAAAAATCAGTGCTTTATAACTGAGAGGAAAAAGTAGAGTCAAAGAGGATTTTTAAAAAGAAATCTTCATTGAGCTTCTTCAAACATATTTATTTGACTTTCTTGCCTTTTAGAGCAAAACTGTACACTAAATCATGTCTCAGTCATGTTTTTACAAGAAGATTTTATATTAGGCCTGTGTGTGTTTACTGTCGATGTGCTCATGATTGTCATATTGTCATGTTGCTCTCGTCTGGCACTTCTTCACCTCTATGAATATCGCGTACCGCAGCACTAGTACAAGAAGAAAGAAGGGTTTGTGTGTTGTCTCAAAAGCATGTACTGGTAGCGAAGAAGTGAAGCTTATGACAAGGTGGTTGCCTTTTTAAACTTAAATTTGAATGATGAAGATGCATGCTCGCTTCATGCTTGAGAGGTGCGAGTGTCTTCAAACATATGTGGAAACAATAGAAGTTGACATGCAACCAATTTCTATGTTTTGATTTGTTTTTTTGTTTTTTCCTTTTTTTTTTCTTCCTTTTTGAGAGCAACAAACATTTATGCTGTCAAACCAAAATGTCACTGTATAACCTGCCTTGTCATTAGATGTACCCAGTGGAGAAAAACCCTGTATTTCTGTGCAATAGCAAGGACTTCTGTTGACCTGTATAGACATATATTTGAGTGTTAGAGATGTGTGAACTGCAATGGGTAGTGTGTTAATAATAGCCTTTGCATTGAGTACTTAAAGTCTCCAGATACATGAAGGAGAGCATTGCCTCTCCTTGTTGTACAAGAGATTTAAAAACAATATGGAGGGTGGTGTGTTTTGCCAAGTTTTTGAGTGTTTTTATTCAATATTTAAAATGTGGTGTTGATGTGACTTTTTGCTCAGGGAGGCTGAGATTGTTTTTCTAAACTTGTCGCTATGGCAAACCTCTGCTCTACCCCCTTCTAGTTTGGCATTTGAGAAATGGCTTTAACTAATCTGTGTAGAACTTTATCTATGAATAAGAGCACCACATCAAATGGTTTGGTAAATGCAATATTTGAAAATATTTAAATGTTTTTAGAGAAAATTGTCTGGTTGAACTATATATTACATTATTTATATCAAAGCCAAACTAGTAATATGTTCATATTTATAACATTTTTAGCAAACCTTGAAGCTAATCTACAAATGTGAAAAAATATAATGCTTCAAATGTTGTTTTTACAAACCATCATTAAAATGTGTTTATGGACTGGTAGGTCACAGTGTGATACAAAGTAATGCAGCATGTTTGAATTTATGGAAACCTTTCTGCACACTGTGCCCAATTGGAAATCTGTCATGGCCATCGTGACCAGTTGTCTCACCACCTCCATGCTTTGCATTGGCATGAATACCAAACTATCTTTCCCTCTTAATATTCTGATACGAACATTGGGAGATTGTACGCTTAAGGAAGAAAAATGGCCACAGGAAATGCTGAAAACGGTCAGAAGGAACCCGAACGAACAAAGTGAATTTTATTGCTAAGGGGCAGTGAAGAGGGAGTTGTTGGAGTCTGATTATTGTTTCACCCAGCCCACGTGTCGGACTGTCCCAGATCAACAACCTATGCAATATGCTCACAGTCTGTTCGTTCAAGCAGCCTAATGGCTACTGGCATCTAAATCACTATTGCATTAAAATTATTTTTTGTGGTTGTATGTTGTGTTTTTGTTTCACAGATTCCATTCAGCAATGCCACATTGAAAATCAGTGCAGAATGTCGCCCATCTTTAGGTGGATGGAATTAGTTTACCTGTATACAGTACATTAAATTTAGTTACATTTATAAATATTGCTGTATTTTATTTTATCTAATATTATATATAATATAATATATTTGATCTAATATTTGTTCATTTTCCAGAGGCGGTGGTTTACGACACCAACTGTCTACCATCTATAATCCAGTTTTGAGTTCCCTCCCCAGACGCCTTAACGCCCACTCACATCCTGGGCCATCTGACCTCAGGAAATCGCATGATAAGGTGGGGCCAGGTTTCACAATGAGCTCACCCGAAACCCTGGCGGATTTTCACACCTTGGCTCATGTGATTAGAGGATCATCAGGGGGTCCTTTTGTCCCTCTTTGGGGGGAAACTCCCACTGGGTTTAAATCTGGGACTCCACCATTTGACCCTTAGAACTGAAGAAGCTTCTCGGATGAGAGGTGAAACGTCTTCAAGCAACTTAAAGAAGTCCAGATGCTTTTCTTTGCAAGCTCCTTTGACTTGTTCATTTGCTTGTATCTCAGCCTATTTTTAATGTATTCACAATGAAAGTACAATAAAACTTTCTTTAAACCGACCAACTTATAAAATTATATATACAATTATTAAATTTAAAAGGTCGCCTATAGAACTTAGTTGCGTTATGGTGTATGGTAGCAGGACAGGACGCCACTCAGGGTTAACGCAGGGAGACAGAAAGCCGCCACTCTTACATTTATAATTTAGAGTTACGTGTACTGTATGCTTTTGGACACCTATCCATTTTATGGCAAACTGGTCAGGTATCCAGAAATGCACTCGAATCAAAACAGACAAAAACAGAACTATAGGTTATTTGATTTATGGTTCTTTTATTGGTGTTTTACAATTTGAATATTTTGACCATTTTTTGTATTTGTTCTTCAATTGGGCAATTAAATTTAGTTCCAATTTATTTATATAACTCCAAATTCGAAAAAGTGTCTACAGTATTAAGGTAAAAAAAATAAACACCAATTTGGCAATCTCCTATGAGCAAGCACTAGGCGACGGTGGGAAAGAAAAACTCCCCTTTAACAGAAAGAAACCTCTGGCAGAGCCAGGCTCAGAGAGGGGCAGACATTTGCTGCAACTGTTTTGTATGTGAGGTGACACTTCTCAATTTTTCCAATTTGTTTACGAGTGAGGGGAGAGGGTAGCAGGAGATCGACAGACAGTTTGGTCGTGCGACTGCAGTGATGTGGACACTGTACTGGTCCATCATGGTAAAAAAAATAGCTGACTGTAAAAGCGAAGCTGTTGATTTATCAGTTGATATATGTCCCTACCCTCACCTATAGTCATGAGCTCTGGGCTTTGACCAAAAGAATGAGATCACGGATACAAGTGTGGGAAATAAGCTCTCTCTGAAGGGTGTCAGGTATCTCCCTTAGAGATAGGGTGAGGCGCTCGGCCATTCAGGATGGGCTCAGAGTAGAACTGCCACTCATCCAAAGGATGTGGTTTGAGCATCGGAGAAGAATACCTCTTGGGTGCCTCTTAGGTGAGGTGTTCTGGACTTGTCCCACTGGGACACACCCTGGGGCAGATGCAGAACATGCTGGAGAGATTATATCTCTCGGCTGGTCTGGGAACATCTTGGTCTTCCCTGAATCAGGTGGCTGGGGAGAGTGAAGTCTGGGCTGCTCTGCTTAGGCTACTGCCCCTGTGACCCTACCCCAGATAAGCAGAAGAATAATATTTTATATAATCATTCCAGAATTGTAACTGGCCTTTATTCCATTGATTTTTTTAATCTTTTGCATAAATCTTTCCAGGTTTTTCTAATCCAGTAATACATAGACTGGAGGATCATTCATGATGATCCATCTCCATCACATTGGTAATTAATAGTTTAATCTGGGTTTCGTAATACAAAGATTGCTCTAGATCTACATTCTAGTTTGTCTTTTTCTTCTTTGGGCATAATTGATATAACTGCTTTGCTCCATGAGGGGCCATTTTTTAAATCCTTTAGTTTTGTATTGAAGGCCAAAAACAAGCCTTAGCTCAGTTCAAACTGAGTTTTTGAGTTTTCTCAAACTCAGCTTGAAAAACCTCAAACCACTCAAAAGGAAAACCATCTGGGCCACCTGACTTGTTTGCTTTAAGCCTGGAGATGGCGCTGTTTAGCTGCAGCTGTAAATATTTGATTTTGTTGTTTAGTTATGGCAAATAAGTTGGCGTGAATTCAGGGACTTGCCAAATTGTGGCTCACTGTCTATGTGTGGTTGTTATACAGTCTTTATTTTTGAGATTTCTTTTGCTAGTATTGTACCTGGTTTTGACCTTGATTCATAGAAACACTATGAATACTTTATTTTTGACATCAAGATTGAATTTTGCCTGCTCAGTTAAACGTTTCTTATCCCAGGAACATGTTAGCATGTTTTTCAGCAAGTTGTCTAAAAGAAATGTTCCGAACAAACACAGATCACAAACAACAGATAAGCATAAAAACAACATAATAAATAATAACAAAGAATATAATTCATCCCACATTATGTAGAATATAAAAAAAACAACTAGCTGTTTATCTGCTGGAGAAAAGTTGCTTTTATACCAAGTTGTTCTTCACAGTAGACAGACCATTTAATAATTTGATGGAGTGAGTTTTTGTTCTTTACAGATAAATATCCAAACTATGTCGTCAGTGAAAGCAAGACAAAAATCAAACCATCACTGTTCTTTTCAGTATGGAAATAACATGACAGACACAGGGGCCCTTTTTAGCTCACAACTTCACAGTTTGCTTCAAAGTTCAGTTTGGAATCAATAATCAGGGATATTTATAACGGTGAATTCATTCCACTGTCTGACTCTTAATGGCTGTAACCTGTTGTTTATGAGTATGTGTTCTAAAATCAATCCTCATATCTTTTGTCTTAGATATGTTTCATCGAGAATTGGGCCATGACTGGTGTCTTTGTCCAGCAGCCAACTATTAATGTTCCTGCTTTGACACATATTTGTATACAGGATAAATACTAAGGGTAAAAGCACACATCCCTGTGGGCAGCCAATTGACAATCAAACTTGATTAGAAAGAATTGCATTTATCTGGACTCTTTGAGTCCTGCTAGACAAACAAACAAACAAAATCCCCCAAGACTCCAGCAAAATGTTTTTATTTGGGTTAAATTGTTCTAAAAGCTTTCTGATTAAAATATGAGGATGGATTGTGTTAAAAGCCAAAGAGAGCCAAAAAAGTACTTGAGCACGAGAATCCAGTTAGGTTCAACAAAGGTCACTGTGGGATCTTCTACTCCATTATGTGGCCTGTAATGCTGGCATGCAAACTGCATGGAGTCAAGTACATGTTCAGTTTTTCTTAAAATCTCAGACTTTTGAGTTTTTGAGTATTTCCACCATAAATGATATATGAATAAACATTCTGAAATGATTTACAGTTTTAGATTTCGAACCAGGAGCTAAAACTGCGTCTTTCTTTCATTAGTTATATAAATACATATTAAATATGTAATGAAAGTGTGAAGTGTGAAGGACAGTGCTTCTTCAGTTTTAACTTTGAGGAACAGTTACGGATATTACGCAAGCTCTACAAAATCATCCCAAGTCTTCAAATTCATATACCATCTTTCACCACTAGATGCCATCATTGGTCAAGACCGCAAGGACAAAACAGGACTAAAGTACAAAAGAAAAAATGTATACATATATTAACGCAAGTGCATGTTGAAATATTAGTATTTAAGAGAAATTAAATTGACGTTCTTGTGGGTTAATTAAATAGACATATCAGAGAAAAAAATTGATTAACATTATTTAAACAGGTTCTTTAGGAAGTCATGTTACAAAAATGCAGTGCGCATGAATCCAGTTAAAAATAAGATATTTTTAAAAAGTAATATTAATAGTAAAAAGCATAGCTGTGATGCAAGGCGGGATTTCAGTTTCCAGTATTACGAGTATAGTCTGGAAGCTAATCACGCATGCGCATTGTGCGCGTTTGGGAAGGCTGGGATAATAATTGCATTTCTATGGGCAGAGCGCGAAGACACTGCTGATCCTCGCTGCATTGCTCGAGCCCCAAACGTATGCTTATTTTTTATCTAACATGGAGGGTTTAACACTGTGATAGATTCCCAGCCTTAAGACCCGCGTACGCTGTACTTTTTTACTGGTGAGCCTCCCGTTTTCTCCCTGTGTTGTTTCGGCCCAAAGTCTGCCGTGGAGCGGTTGTCACACAGGCCGCGGATCGGTTCTTGTTGTTGGGAGGGGACCACACTGACTCGCCTCCAAGCTAGCATTATTAGCTGGCTATAATGCGTCGCTGCCGCTGGTGTGTTTTCTATATAGCAGGCTCCTGTTTATTGAGACAGGTCCTTGGTTAACCGTTTACCCGACGGAACGAAAGTGTGACTTGGACTTACACCACACCTTTCAAGGTAATGTCTTGCCAGCTAGCTAACGTCATTCATGGGACCATTGAGTGGTCCTGCTGTACAGCACACACTAGCAAGCTAGCGGTTAGCTGGTGATAGTTAGCGGCTTTGCGTTTCATTGCATGGCCGCTTAGTAGACCAAATGTTAAGAAAATCTTTACTGTTTCAGCTAACGGTTGATCCCGTTAATAACGTTATCGTAACGTTAGCCTGCTAACGTATTAAAGTATGTTAACATTAGTTATGGCCTTGCAGCGTTTACAGTACTGTTGTGGGCCGTTAATGTAAATGAAATTGTTGCAGGTTTGTTTATTATTATTATTATTGATATTTTTTACAGGTAATGCGATAACTTAAACTCATGACTAAATAGAACTTTAGATTTCTGACAAACGGAAAAAATCCGTTAGAACTCATGTGTGATAAGCAGGTGTGCACTAGTTTTCTGTCAAAACCATACTAAATTTAGTCAGTATCCTTCTATTAACCTATTAATGTAATTAGTATTGCCTTTTAGGCTGTTGACAGGATAAGACAGTCAGAACCTGTCGAACCGTTGTCCAAGTAAAAGGTGAACACCTATATGACAAAGAAGTTAAAAGTGAAACTGCTGTGATTTTGATCTAACTAATCAGAAAACACAAGTCTGCTTGGCTGACTGACATTGATAATTTGTAAGTTTGTATTTGAGGTGGAATACATTTGGTCTAAAGTTGGCAACTGCTACTAGAGTTGTGTTGCACAGTGTAGACGTGAGTATCAAATTTCTAAACTATGACAAAGATTGATCACATTCCCTTTGTCTACATGTACTTGTTGCAAGTAAACTTACTGTGATCACAAAGGTTAAACCAACATCATACCCTTTGCTTTGCAGTTGTGCAATAGTACAGTCAACTGTGTGCTTGTCAAAATGTACATAATGATCATAAAGATTCATTCTTGCAGTCACCATGACTTCAGTTCAAGGTGATTTAAGAAATAGTTGCTGCTTGGAAATCTCAAGTCTATTGTCTACTGTTTGACATCATGAGTGACTGCGAAATGCCTCTTTGACACTTGTGTCTCAATGACCACATGTAATTCTAATGGGTCACTAAAGGAAGGAAATAAAAAAAACAACATATTCTGTTGATAAGCAACAAACATTGTAGTCAGTGAGATTTCAGTTAAATATGTATCAGAAAATCACTTATGAGTCATTTTAAAGGAATTTGTCACTTGGCAAATCATGCCTGGCTAATATCATATTATTTGGCATTGGCTCTTACTCAGCATAATGTCCTGTATAATTTTATCTTTAACAATGTGTTTTTTTGTTTTGTTTGTTTTTTGTTTTTTTGGTTAAAGATGGATGTTGATTTGTGTGCTGGCGGGGACAGTACTAAGAGAACAGTAGAACTGGCCGGAGTTGCAGAAGGCACAATGGACGTTGTACCTTTGGAGATGTATGACTCCGCCAGAGCAAAAATAGCAGCCAACCTACGGTGGCTGTTTGCCAAAGCCTATGGTATTGGTAAGTAATTTTACTTGCATTCATGCTACACAAATGTCATGTCTCACAGTTACTTCAGATGTTGTTGTTGGCACATTGTGTTTACTGCTCTCTACAGTGATAGTCAGCAGATTGTGTTGCGCTCCAGCAGCGAAACTTTGACAGCAAAAACCCAAGAGGAAGAAATACTTGTGTCTGTGCTCTTGAGCCAAAACTGTTTCCCCCCCATGGCACTTGGCAACCGAACTCCCATACTGACTCACCAGATCCTTCCATTCTTGTAGGGCGGCCAGTGAGAATGAGCCCAAATCGGCATGAGTGACAGGCACTAAGGATTAGGCTATATCTGTTTGACTGTAGTCAGAGCATGGAAAATACTGATCTGCACTGCCAGTCACTCGCACTGCCTGTTGAGATTGTATCGGCATTAGTAACTTTGTCAGATAGGGGCAGGTTTTCTTGCTTTGTCTGTGGTTGCTTTTTCCAAGAGTGGAATACATTTTAAGGGTGAAATGAGTTATGTGAAATTTAAGGTAAGCATTTTAGGATCTGTTTTAGTGAAGTTGTGGAACTAGGACCCTTTTTAAAAAGTACTACTGTTTACCTTTAGTACAGTTGATATCCTTTCACGATATGTGCATATTTTATGTTAGGTGGCAAAAGGAATTATGGAGACATTGTTATATAAAATCTTCTGCAATTTATTTCACAAAGACTACATTTGAGTCAACCACTGTCTGCTGAGCTTTGATACATAACTGTTGCATGTGCACCGCACTGTTCTGACGATATTGTAAACAATTGAATTGCAGCTGCTCTTCTGTGCTAAAGTTCTCCGTCAAACATACTTTTCTGCAATATGTTTTGTATAGAAAAAAGTTTTCATGTTGGAGCTAAGGGTGGGTGATACAATCTCTAAATTATATTACGATTTTTCAAAGAAATTGCAGTGATGATATTTATGATACAAAATAAAAATACTGAACATTTTATCTAAAATTGTAACTTGCAGACAGTAGAATTTGTTGGTGCAAACAAAACAAAGGACATTTTCCATCCCTTTTTTTCCCCAATGAACTACTGTCATTGATGACAGACTACCTAATTAGACCTGTGAATCTGTTGCCTCAAGATTCCAACAGCAGCAGCACCAGTATTATAGAGATCAATAGTTGTGACACAGCCTATGTAAAATGTAATCACAAATGTAGTGTAGGTAGCATTTTTCCTGGAAACCTTAAGTAAAAGTAGAACATACTGCTTAACACTTAAGTATAACAATAACTTAACTGGTTTAATCTTGTAATTCTTTAGGAGCCTGCAAAAATATTTTCACATAATAATTAAACTGAAAAATACTTGGATGTTATGTCTTGGGTTGAGCTTTGTAATCCCACTTTTACCACTATTTGGATTGGCATCATGTCCTTGGCCGCTCGTTATGTAACCGTGTCAGTAATTGAGTGATTTCAAGCCACCATTTTGCTCTTCCTGTCATATGGAGCAAAACTAGCAAGCGCTCCAGTAATACGTAGTTGAGTGATTTGTTTACTTTTTGGTTGCAACTGATGACTGGTCACGTGCCTTCCTAGCTCGGTTGAACTTGACAGTTTTTTTTGTTTGTTTGTTTTTCTCCTCCCCACAAGTAGTGAAACAAGTTTCTTGGTTCCACCTTTATGTGTGAACAGTTTTCTTGCATATTTCGCATAGTGTTGTGCTTAGGGTTAAAGGTTGTTGATGTAGCTTAGTCTGTAGGTACTAAATTGTCAAGCCTGACACACTGGTCTGGCTGTCTAACATGTCTGGATTGTCTTGTTTTGCATGCTAGGGAATGTGCACGCAAGAAATTCCTATGCCATTGATATTAAAATATGACACTTTTATATCATGGAAAATGTATGCCACATTAACTTGGTGGGTATGATGTGAAATCCCTTAAGTTAAGTGAGAGCTCACCAATATATGAATTTACAGGAGAGAGTTACAGAAATGCTATGGAACCCTTTTAGTAAGAGATGACTTTAAGGTAAACTGGATCCACTGGTTGCAGTGGGGATATCTACACTTTACACTTACATGAGTTGCTCATACATGATTTTGTGCTTCTACTAATGCTTGAGGAAGTTTGGAAATGTGGTGACTTTCATGCAGTCTATGCACCACATTGCTTGGTGACTCTACTTTGTATTAGAGATGGCACGATACCACTTTTTTATGTCCGATACCGATATCATAAATTTGGATATCTGCCGATACCGATATGAATCCGATATAGTGT